TACATTCAGATTTTGGTGCTTTTGAGGATTACTTTGAAACGTTCAAAATTTGGGCTATGATCAAGGAAGATGAAGAGGATGGTAATATTGTGGCACATTTTCTCACATTCATCGGAAAAGAAGCATATAGCTTATTAAGAACTCTGGCTATGTCGGAAAAGCCTATCTCGCTTCCTTATACAACTCTCAAGGAACTGCTGCTAGACTATGTTAAGTATACAAATTTCGGACAAAATAAAGGAAAATTTTGTAAAGTGATTCATGAGGATATAAAAAACTCCACTACATTACTACGTCATCCCATCACAGTGCATACTCAAGGCTATGCAGATAATTCATTGAGGAGTTGCAATGCATTTCGCGAAGACGAACACAAGTTTGGTCAACGTTTGTCCTGTGGCAAGTTCCATTCTTTTAATTCATGTGAATTTCGTAATTCTAAGTGCTTTAAATGTTCATCTTGCTGCAACTAATATTAAGTCTTGTAATTCTGATTCTGTTAAGTTGATTATTTATAATGATAATTTTTCTTTATCAACGATTTCAAAAGACAGTGTAGAATCATATAGAAGTTCAGAGTTAAATAAAACACACAATCCTTGTGAGACAACAGTTTCTAATCAATCAATTTGTCAGAATTCTCATGTTATTGTTTCGGGTATGGCTTTTCCTAATGATTCACATATTTCTGATGAAATTCCTTGCAAATCTGAAGAAAATATGTTGAGTGAACATAATTATGATCGAAAACTTGCTTCAGTCTCGATAGATGCTGATTTTTCTAATGACCGTTTACCATGCAGTGACATTCTTAATAAATTCGAGGAAACTATTTCAGAAGAACCAAGTCTTGATGTCATATCAAATATTATAATATCTCATAATTCATTTGTTTCTTGTGGGAAACTTGTTCAGTGCGAACCACGAGTATTAAATGAGCTCGATTTTGATTACAATTCGGATGATTTCATATCAACTGATGTTTAACCTTATCACAAAAACACTTCTAATGTTCACTCTAACCAGTGTGAGAAATATGTTTTAAATGAAGCCACATCATTCATAACTTGGGGATATGATGATCCAACATTATTTCGTGGAGGAGGATATTGTTGAAAAATCTATGGTCCAAATTCTAGATATTAATTATTTCAGTACCAAACCGACATGTTGATTGTATACAATTCCGGGTGAGTCCGTTCCGATTTCGGTTGTTAATTCCAATACTAATGAGCACATTCTAGATGATACAGAGTTCTTATCCAATACAATGTTGGACAGACACAGGATAAACTGAAGAAGACGTGAAATCGATTACAGACACGTAGACTCTAATTTAAGCTGTGGAGGATGTGGTATTTGAATGTGTGGTGGATCAGACGATATATAAACGCAAAAAGTATCAACAAAGTTAATAAAAAGCAATAGTAATATTATTATATATCAGTTAAATGTTACAAATACAATAAAAATGGGACTTTACTTAAGTTAACTCAAAATGATGCGTGTTCGGCTTTAATCTGGTACAATAAATCCACAATTATAGATGCTTGGTAATTCCAAACGTATCGATGAACTCCCCAGTGGTGTAATCTAAAGTAAGGTATGGTGTATTCGCTCTCACAGTCTATGATTGTAAATAATATTTGTTTTAGATCTCAGTTAACTCAATCTCGAATGAAAATAGAACGAGGAATGTGAGAGAAGCAGTGTATTTGTTAGCCAGCAACGGTATGTTACGCTATGTTAGAATCACAACGGAAAAAGTGTTCAAGGTCATTTACAAAAACAACCGGTTGAATCATTTAATGATAAATGTACATGCGGTGAGAAATTGACAAATACAAATAATATTAAAAACTATTAACAAAATAAGTTTGTCAGACCTATCTCCACAAATGAACTGTTGATTTCATTGTACTTGTTATACTATCGGGTAACTCAACCATCCATACCTTGGACAGTTCCAAAGAAGAAGAAGCACAGTCATACCTGGGTAGGGCAGGATATCCGATGTTTATCAAGACAAAGGAAGAAATGTTGGGATGTTGCCATTCGCCCTGGCACAGCAGGTACGATGAAGCGCTACAGATCGGTAAAAAACAAGTGTACAACAAGAATTCGGGTAGCTCAAAGAAAATATGAAATGCAGATGGCACAATCTGCACTCAAGCAGCCCAAGAAAATATTCTCATACACAAACTACAGAACAAGGATGCATCATTGGATTCCCAACCTAGTTAAAGAATGGAGTGAATCTGAAATAATAGAGGAAGATCAGGAAAAAGCAGAGGCTAAGGCTGACTATTTTGGGGCAGTTTCCACTCAGGAACCTTCTCTAGACAAGGAACTAGACCAAAATAAAGAGTCAACAAACCACCTGCTCACCGTGGACCTCGATCAAGACGATGCGCTTAAGGCTCTTAGCACCTTAAACATAGAAAGGTCAGCAGGACTAGATGAACTACACCCCAAGATCTTGAAACATATTGCACAATATATCGCGGCCCCACTGACTTTGATAATCAATATGTCATTTGACCAAGGTGTGTTGCCTATGGACTGGAAGGACGCAGTCGTCACTCTTATACATAGAACAGGACCAAGACAAGTTCCACCGAACTTCAGACCTGTAAGCCTCACCAGTGTTGTAGTTTAAATAACAGAATAGTCAAACGGACCAGAATGGCATTTATGGAAACCAATAACTTGCTATACATAGAACAACATGGTTTTAGAATGGGTCTATCTTGTACAACGAACCTCCTTATAGCAAGGGAGTTTTGAATAAAGGCGCTAGAGAACGGAAACTCAGTGAGTGTTGTCTATATAGACTTCAGTAAAGCTTCTGACAAGGTGCCAACTAATAGACTGCTATTGAAGTTGGAAAACCTTGGTACTGCCGGACCCCTCTCAAAATAGATTAAGGGTTTCCTAGTAGGTCGTAGACAAAGAGTAAGAATAAATTGCAAGTGCTCCATCTGGAGACCATTACCTAGTGGGGTACCTCAAGGTTCCGTGCTAGGTCCTTTGCTTTTTATGATGTATGTTAATGATCTTCCAAGTATTGTACAGTCTCCAATGTTATTATACGCTGACGATATAAAAATTTGGCGAGTAATAACTGGAGACAAAGACGCATTTACTCTTCAAGCAGACTTAAATAATATGATAAACAGGTCTAAAGATTGGCTGATGCCTATCAACGCGGAAAAGTGTGTCTACATGCACTTGGGGGGTTCAAAGGTTAATAAGTACAACATAGGGGATGTGTCATTACCCGTGTTCCGGTCTTATAAGGATCTAGGGGTGACAGTGAGTCATGATCTTAAGACGACGGCCCATTGCCGGGAGGTCACAGCTGAGGGTTTTTTTAGAACCTTCTGGGCTTGAAAACGGACATTCACTAAGTTAGATACTACCATGTTTACCACAGTATACACAACCTTAGTGAGAACTAAGTTTGAGAACTGCGTTCAGGCTGCAAGCCCCTGTTTAAAAAGTGACTCGGATATCATAGAAAAAGTACAGAGTGCAGCTACCCGTGCAATTTTAGAACTCCGGGGTTTACCATATAATGAGCGGCTTGAAAAGCTGACCTCTTTACTCTGTCCTATCGCAGATTAAGGGGAAATCTAATTTTGATGTACAGAATACTGAGAAATGATTGTTGAACCAACTTATTCTCTATTTTTCTTCCCACTAGATCCTTACCACACAAGCCTGAATCTGAATCTAATATTCCCAGTGGAAAACATGAATTTCAAAGATATTTCACTCTTTTCAAAGAGGCCAAAATAAGACAAGCATTAACGAATTTGAAAGTATTATATGTTAAAAATACTGAACGACTGCATGTTATGATATAATTCACTTTAACAACTACGAGGATTTGGTGTACGTGATGATGATAGGCACTCGGAACAAATTGTACTTATCTGTCGATGAAAGTCGTATTTGTTTTTACTCAAAGTGATAAATCGAACCCATGTGTTATTCGTAATCAGTATATATGTGCGATAACTGTTTCTGACATAGTAATCAGTCAAGTGTAAATGCCTTGAATAATCGATAGATTTATATGTCCCCCCAAACTTACATAATTCGCATTTATGCATCCATGGAGAATCACAATGATGGGAAGCACGAGTTGTATGAATTACAGTCAACAACATAATTCGAACAATACGAACAGAAAACATGGAAAAGTGTGTGGTTTATTCCACGGAAAGAGCTCATTCAAGATATAACGATACGCACAGTTACTAATGATTTATCGAAAACCAGATTAACGCCACAAATCAAGTGTCTTTATCAGCAAGGTTCAACAATTTTCACAGCCCTCATACGGAAGTAGAGGAACTTAAACTGCTCTTTTCTTGAAGCTGTGTTTGAAGTAGTCAGATTCTGGAATACAACTGATATACTGAATCGTATTCTGATAAAAGTCGCCCTCTAAACCGTATCTTGAAATGTAATTTGAGGCAAAGATCGCTATTATGAATCTATCATTCATGGAGCATATGTACAGGGAAGAAGTTCCTAAATCACTGAATTCGTAACACTGACTAAAGCAGTGATTTGATCAAAAGATGAATCTGATTACGATCCCTACATAAATTCTTTTGAATGCAGATAAACTACATTGCTCATGATGAAACTAGTTAAATTATGGATACAGACAGTGAAATTTTCGTGTCCACAATATGAGCATTAAACTGTAAAATTGTTCGGAATATTTGTCAAACGATAACAGAACTCAATCTCTAATAGTTAGCAGAAAAGAGACCAACTGTACTTGTATTATATCAGCGAGACAATTCGAAATCAAATGGACGTCTATATCCGAAATGTAGTCTGTACTGATTTAACTCAATACGAACTGTATACACTGTTTTGTAACTGTAGTACATTTGTTTATGGGACTACTTAGAAGTAATAATAAAACAGAATGATCTTTTGTCAAAATGATTTGATTTATTGGGTATGAAAATAAGTGAGTAAAAATTCCGGTTTATTCATTATGTCACGAAGGAAATTCGGAAATTAACCGGCTTTGAATAGGAGCACTGCGTAATTTTGTAGATAGAAGTAAATAAAACAGTTTACTTCATGTGTCACATAACTGAAATTGGAGAAAACAATGGGAATGAAAATAATGCATTACATATTTTCAATTCTATTGGACTTAACTTCCCATTATTTGTTGTCTTTCTTATTATTGTCTTGTTTATAAGTACCAATGTTTGACTGATTCACAATGATTCATTGGAATCTCATGCTTTCTAAATGAACAAATGGCTATGTGATGTGTGAAATCAATTGATCAGGGTTTAATATTTCATCATTTGGAAGTTTTATTTCAATGTATATATGCATCAGAAATATAATGAAAGTTATTAAAATGATGTTGTTGTACATACCTTCCAAAGTTTTTGCCGACAATACAGTGCCAATTCGGACCGTATGTTTCATCAAATTTGTTTTTAATATGACGTGCAATATCTCTTTCAACAGTGTATGTATCCATAGCTTTTACAGCTAAATCAACAGCGAATTGCTGTCTCGCTTCTTGTATATTATAACCCTTATTTATTTCCTTTTCTTCAAGCATGACAACAGCGAAAGGAATATACAACCTATGCTCTAATGAAAGAATTAGATCTTGAAAAGTAACGTATTTATATCGTATCTGGTGAAAATAAAATGACCTTGACCTTCCAATGTCTCGTAAAATATTTAGTTGAAAATATCATGAAAATATGGATTGGCTGAAGTCGAAACATGACGGGATTGTTAAGTTAATAAGGAATTGATATAGCATAGTGCTTGAAATGCTCAATCTCTACTACAAAATACACATATCGATTGATTTTATAAACGGATAACTTTGTGAAATCTGTTGACTTCTGTTTTGGTTTTGTGATATTGTGTTTATGATAACAATTACGATACAGCTCAGTGATTACGTTCAGATTTATGTTGTGAGATTTGTGAAATATCTTGTATGAGAGTTGATACTGCTTATCAGACAGTCCAACACACGACAACAGATCAGTTACAACCTACATGTGTTAACTCATAAACGTGATTTTATTGCTGAATTGATTGTAACTTTTATTTGACAGTGAAATATGGATAGAATAAATCGGTATAGATAACAATATTGTTGGCGGTTTATGGACATACGAAAATCATTAGTTCACACTGACGTACATGTGCTTATGAAGAAACGTTAACCAATGTGGTTCATTATCGAATAATATGATAGTTTGCAATTTGCTCATTATATGAAACATCGAATGATTTTACGAATTCCCTAACTTCTGTTGCTGGATGTTTGAAGTTATCTATCTAATAACGTTGGGATATTATCGCCTATTACTGAGTGATCCAATGGATATTCCTACTAAAGCTTAATTAGTGTGATATAACATAGAGTTTGTTAGAATTAACCATTGGTAATGGAATAGAGTAGAACAGATTTTAACGACGGATTTCAACACTGAATGTTATCAGCTAGAAAGCAGTTGACGACATGTTCTGTTTGGTCTCAGGATTTCTACTTCTTACAACTGACTGGCCACTGAGTAGTGACCAGTGTCATATGTGTCGAGTTCTTCTTAGCTCTGACTGAATTCTATCGATTAAATTGCAATGATAACACTTTTGGTTGTGAGGCTGGAATACACGGAGTCGAATCTACCAGGAAGCATTAGTTCTTTCAAGACTACGGATACATTTTACCGACGAGTATCGAGTGGCGCGAAACCTAGGTCGATGATTTCCCGTTGCTACTTCCAACCACCATCTTACAACTCAACAAAGCTCATAGTTCTATGCACTTAAAGTCATTTAAAGAATCGACGTAATGACCTTCATGACTCACTGTAAAAAGAAAGAATCCAGGCACTTGGGTTATTAATTGACTGAGTTTGGGAATGTAGAGCATCGTTCCAACATGAAGGTCGAACATTCTGTGTCTGGAAGTGAGGAATCGTAGGTACTCATTGAAACGACTTTTTATTGCTATGAAATATCCTTCAAGTTCCACACGTCTGTTAAAAGTTCTCAGCTGACTTTAGTTCGTTAGTAGATCTGTTTGCGAATCAGAATTACCACAACCAATACAACATGTAAATAATCGCTGTTAACTTCAAGGACGAATGAAATGTCCACATCTTCCTAGCTCACACCGTTTCTCTAACTAAATTCAGTTCATAATGCAAACTATCTTCAAACTGAACACCCTCATATTTTCATTGTATGCATTTTACTCAAGTGTAATTGGAGACGAATTGTTTGAAATTCGACTCTCATTGGAAAAAAAAATGGCACTGATACTGGTTATAATGAATGAAAATGTTTTTGAAATGTTTACCCGGAGAAAACTGTGCAGAATATATCGAAGAACGATCTCCACAAAAATTGCAGTCTGTGTCGCTACTTAAAACGAAGTGGAACACATTTGAGCAAATTGTAAGCAGATTTTTAATAATTCAGACCGCGTAAAAATGTCGAATCGGATTAAACAGTAAGTCAGGGATGCTGCAAATACACGGTTATGTGAAGCAATTGATTGAATGATATTAATAATAATATCTTGGGAGCGGGAGTGATTTTAATCAACATGCGATGTTCTATTGGTTGTTACGATGGTGAAGAATGTATTTTACATTTTCGTCTTCCAGTTGAATATAACGACTAAGATTGGAAAGATGGGACTGTATATCCATTTCGCACGAAACAAACATTAAATTGGATATTACTCAGTGATCAATTACTGTAGATATCTTAGTCCAACAGTAAATCACTCCTGAACTAAGTTGACAAATAATATCTCCGACTTCTCAACAAGTGACAGGAGCTTGAGTCATCTCAGTATCATGTGTTCCGTCACCATTGTAGAAACGCTACAGCGATATATCCTAAATAGCACGAAACAAGTGTCCGAGGCTCATTACCATTCCACCTCACACATTTGAAGTTGTGATTGTCGAATGTTAATAATTAATGAAGTGAACGTCTTTATTGTTCGTTGAGTTATTCTTCCGAATTCACAAGAGAGTGAATTTCTGAAATTTCATTTTTATTTGTGTTACTTGTATGAATTTTATTATGATGACATACCTTTTTAGATATTGTCTCTTAAATTTTATTCAGTGTTGGCCTATACAACAAAATCAATGTAATTGATTTCAGAATCAAATTTGCGTTGTTCATTTTCTAAGTATGAAGTGAACGCGCGAGTTACTGACATAGACAATGCTCCTTATCTCTACTCCATCTGATTACACTTGAGCTTATGCAGATAAGTTAACACAAATGTACATGTGTGTGAATGCGAATTTTTTTGTTGATTAACAGAAGGGTCAATTAAGGCCACACCATTACTAACCATCATTAAAAACTGAACTGTCGATTGATAATTCGCACAACCAATGTTTTGTTGTGTGGTTTAGTATCCACCCACATGAATTCATTTGTGATTGTAAACTGAGTCCAAGTTACTAAAATGTTAATTAGGTCTTTCAGTTGAGACTGAGTGCTAGTTCATCAGCTTTTTGTGCATTCTTGACATCATCTGATTAGATATTACTAATATTCTAATGTAAAACAAATTTATGCATCTTATGAAATCAAGTAAGCATAATTAAAAATCGTGTCAGAATGCACAATTATACATTTTAGTAAGAGACATGTCTGAACTTCGCTAATCGACTAATGGTCATTCTTATAATAGATACACTAATTAGAGGTATTTATAATTAGTATTCAAAGCGTTCATATATCGTTAACGTTTCTTGATTGGATGAATAAAGTATGATTATTTAGTGATTTCCAAGATAATATTTTACTTCTGAATTAATTTGTGTATGGAAGGTGTGTTTCTTAAATTTCGTTATTTTTAATAGTAGGAGTTTTTGAAATAAAATTGACTTGTTTTAGATGGTAGTTGGAGGTAGTCAACAGGGTTTCCTGTTGACTACCTCCAACTACCATCTAAAAATCTCAATACATAGTGCCCACAGTGTCAAGTCACCTAGACTGGTGGCCGCATTGCAACATGATCGATAGCATTCCATCTGCACTAATAAGGATTAGACAAGAATGACATTGATCACCACTCAGTGATCAATCAATTGTGAAAATTGACTTGTATTGTATTTAAAGAGTAGTGATTTACTTACTTACTTACTTACTTACTTACTTACTTACGCCTGTTACTCCTAATGAAGCATAGGCTACCGACCAGCATTCTCCAACCCACTCTGTCCTCGGTTTTACTTTCAAGTTCCATCCAATTCTTGTTCATTTTACTCATGTCTGTCTCCATTTCTAAAAGTAATGTGTTCTTTGTTCTTCCTCTCCTCTTTCTCCTCCTTTGACCTTGAGGATTCCATATGAGGGCTTGTCTTGTGGCACACAGTTGTGTGCTTTCCTCAATTTGTGTCCTATCCACTTCTAGCGCTTCTTCCTGATTTTTTCCTCCTCTGGAATCTGGTTTATTCTCTCCAACAGTAGGTTGTTGCTAATAGTGTCAGGCAAACGGATCCGAAGTATTTTGCATGGGCAACTGTTAATAAATACCTGCATGTTCTGGATGATGGCCTTCGTATCTTGCTTTTCCCTTTGTGTATATTGAGACCTACTGCTGCTGAGGCTGTCTGTTACACTGGTCATTTTCTCCTGCATTTGTTGTTGCGTGTGCGATAGATGATCTAGAACATCTGAGAATTCTAGATCGTTCAGAGTAGTAATTTACTGTATTCTAAACACATCGTGACCAAGTGACACGAGGTAATCTAACTAGCCTCTTTGTATAATTAATGTATGTGGGGATTTACTGTGTAGTGGCTTTGAATTGTTGATCAATCACCTTGATAACCGTTATTATGTAAATCCCAACGGTGTTTGAAATCAGAAGGCAATAAGAAGCGGCGACTACGGTTTATTAGCGGATAGCACAGATCATAAAGCTCAAAGCACATCGAGCGAGTTTGGAGCAGAAAGGTGAATGTGTGCATGTACGAGAAAATACATAGGCAGATTTATAGTCAAATCGAAAAAGGCGTATACAGGCAATTCAAAGGCTAATAACTGGGTTCGAGTACATATATAAGTGGGGAAGAGGATGATTCATCGAGCGATATTTAAGCTATCAACATTTTAGCTAGAGTCTGTCATGTGATCAAGCGTACTCGTTTATGCAGATATGTTAGTGGTCATAATAGTATAAAGAAACATGCGAATTGTTACTGTTCGAATAACATTGTCTGTTAAGTAAGTTAATAAAAGGGCTCAACAAAATTTAACCATAATCGAAATTGATTGTAGGAGAACTTCTATAACTCACTGAAATGTTTCTTGCATAGTCTTGTTAACATCTTGATTTTTGAGTCGACACTCTGAGACACTTTGAGTTTTACATTATGTTGCTCATTTACCTTTGGAGTCGCCTACGAATGTCTGTTAAAAGTCACTTTTAATCAAAGGATGTTTAAGTTCTCAAAAAATAAGTGATTTAATGCAATAAATAATCATCTATGATATTAATGATTACTCTATAACTTACGGAAACTAACCTGTAAATGAACTCTTATCCAATCTTCACTGTTTTTGTACAAACTGTATAGATATTTAAATTCACCTGGTATTTTTTATTTGAATCTTCCGATTGATGTTTAGGATTGCAATTGATCAGTCTCTTATTGGCATATATGCATGCTGTGCGTATTGCCTAGATATAGTCTTAATTCACAGGCATTATAAGCAAAGATGGATAGTGGCTAGCAGTGGAAACCTAGACCCAACCATAAATTGTGAGGCGTTATCCAAGTATCATACAGTAGTGGACTTGGGACCCAAGTGTTCCTACAATTTTTCATCATCTATCAAACCTCGAAATACAACACCAAATCTCAACGTCGTCTAGGTTACACAATTTGTCACCTCTGTTTTAACGAGTCATGTATTTTAACTTACGAAGTATGTATTCGACTTCTCTTAGAATACTGCAAGTAGTGTTCGCATAAGATATCAATTAAGACTGAACTCCGTTCTGTGAATATTAACACCTCATATTCTTGTGATTGATTCTACCTTTAATTATAACTCCAGATGTAATAAAGTTGAACTCTACCCTTTTTGGAAGAGTAGACTCTAGCTAAATCTGATCGTTTTCTCCAAAATACTTAATAAACTATCTTTTAAACTCAATGTTCAGAAACTCTTAGTTATAGCATCCGTAACTGTTTTTCATTAATAAAACAATCTCATCCTGAATTTCTCCATATGAGTTAGTTCACTAGTAAACTTTCGAGACTCTGGAATAATTAACCACAATCCGTCCGTGAAATAAAATCACATCTACCCTTTATTTACTACATCGATGCTTACTTCTCCTCTGAAAACGCCTTTGGTCTGCTTACAATTTTAAATATATCCCATTACATAACTGAGATTATAGAAGTTTTAAATGTTTAATCGTTTTCGCTACTGAGCCTGCTAATTAAACCTCGCTATGTACTGATACTTTACACTAACTCCGTTATCGATAATGATGACAACACAAATCAGTGATTACGTTCAGGTTTATGTAATAAGATTTGTGAAATATCTTGCATGAGAGTTGACAACGCTTATCAGACAGTCCAACACACGACAATGGATCAATCACAACCTACATACCAAATATGTTAACTCAGAGATCGTTTCTTTGAAACGAGAGTTTATTGTTAAATTGATTGTGCTTTTTACGTGACACTGAAATGTAAATAGAACAGAGAGGAGATTTGAATGAATCGTCTGTGACAACCTTAATTATTCTGAAAAATATCTAACCCAAACTTTAAAGCATAAAATAACGTGACACATGTATTATGTTAGATCTGACTTACTGACTTATCCTTTTTTTATTTTTCCATGATCTCTGTTTCCATTTAACTTTCTCTAGTTATAAATGATTATGACCAATGCTTTATGACACTAGAAATGACCTACTATATAGTTCAAAAGTATAGTAAGAACTGTAATATTCCGCAGGTTTATTTACAGTTAGTAAGATGTTTCTGAAATGTGATTTATTTAGTCAAAATTTACATACTACTCAATTCAGTGTTAGCTACTAAATCAAACATCAATTATGAATCATCTAAACAGAGAATATAACAAACAAATATATGATATTTAATTTATTAATCATGAGATCCAATCAAAATAATTTCCTATATTTTCCTTTAATTAAAATTTTAGTTCACAAAATGAGCATACTTGATACCTTTATTAACTTTCTGTTTCATACGGTAATTTTTCAATACATATAAAAGACTTCGATAGAACACTGAGAAGACGGAGTTTATCTGAAAAATGTGATGGTCGATGGCATTCGATCTGCACTAAATAAGGACTTTACACGCATGACATAGATCACCACCCACTGATCAATCAATTGTGATTACATTTCAGTCCTACAGGAGGTCAGTCGCGGCCCGGTTAGCTCAGTGGTAACATCTCTGACTGTGAAGCTGGGTGACACAGGGCCAAATCCGCCAGGGAGCACCAGTTCCTTCAAGATTACAGGTACACCTTGTTGACAAGTGCCAAGTAGCACGAAACCCGGGTCCAGGGTTTCCTGTCGACTACCTCCAACCACCATCTAATCTCGAAAAATGTGATGTAACTATGCTATACATTTCGAACAATCTGATCACACACATATACTTGTCAGGGCATTTTATATGAAAATTAATAAAGGTCAATTAAACGAAAGTTCAAGTAAAATAACAAAAAGGGGAGAGAACGAATAATAAATTGTCGCGTTATCCTAGGCCATAGAATGACTTTAGGACTACCAAGGTAAATTCAAGATTAAGACAAATTGTTTTTGTATACATAAGGGGGCTTTAAGTTTACGAATAGACAAGGCTTCAGTAAACTTAAGAATTCGTCTATGACAATTTCTATACAACGTTCTAAAAGCTGTATTAATGTCAATTTTGTACCCCGTTTCAATTATAGATTTCGCTATCGATGAACCTGGTTACCTACCTCCCACATTGATCGGATCATTTGACACACATTGATTTTGAAGCCATCTAGGCACATGTTCATTGACTCTTGATTACATTGTTCGATTACTCCTCCCTATGTATGTGTTCCACACAAACATGTAAATTGGCAAATACAATGGGATGTGACGTAATCATTAGTGCATTGTTTGGGTCTATTAGGAATCATGGGCTTTTCATGAACTTTTCAATCACAACCAACTGAGCAACATATAGGTATTCTCGATGTCTGTTTTCAATCTCTGTCTTAAAACTATGCTGTTGGATTCGCCTTTATATGGTAGATTGATATAAACTTTTTTCTTTGGAACTAAATAAACAATAGGTCTGGGCATAAACTGACTTTTGCACCCAATAATAAATTTTAGTGGATAACCATTTGCTATTAATATATCAGTCAGTAAATTTTCATTTTTTTCCACCGTGTCAGAAGTACAAATTCTTTGAGTCCTCTTAAAGAGACACTTAACCAGGCCTCGCTTCTATTACAATAGACAAAAACTATGGAAATTTAAGTATTGTCCCGTCCAGGTTGATTTCCTATACACATTTTTCAGATAAACTCCGTCTTCTCATTGTTCTATCGAAATTTATAAAATGGACTAATTACTTTAAATATAAAAGACTATTTAATTTACACAACAAGCTTGATCATGGATGTTCAATTCTGAAGAGTCTTATACTGGGGACGAAACGATCGTTCTAATGCTTTCAGCTTTCCTATAATGGTCTAGTTTTAATCAATTCATGAATTCAACTATTATCAATTTGATTATGAAATATCAACAAATTTATGAATGATTTATTTAACAATATTAATGTATACAGAATGAATTAAAACTGTCTTTTTTTCTTTTTTTTCTTTTTCTTTTTTCTTTATTTTATTGTTGTTGTTGTTGCTGCTGTTGTTGTTGTAGTTCTACTCATTGAAAACAAGTGAATATGTGCATTGAATTATATAAATTGTGTAATTGATTATTTATCCTGATTTAAATAATTGTACCGCAACATTTTGTAGATAGAAATAAATAAAATTATTGGTTTCATGTGTTACATAACTATAGAAATAAAGAATAAATAATCAAAAGTAAATATATAATAATGATACTAATTAACATGGTTTATTGAATAGTGTATGCATAGAAACAAGAAAACGTTATTACAGATTATGAATCAAAGTTAACTTGATGTAATGGAACTCTGATTGTAGCTCATTTAAGGTTATTATTGATCTTAAACCAGGGTAAAAAAAATAGGAGGGTTAAGTATGGAGTCATCAACCCCTTTCATTAGAAAACAAACTTAGTGAAAACATGTTAAACTGGGTAATCTAACTTAATAAATCATTATTGGCAATTCATTCACTGCTGAGGAGTCCCACAATAGGACGAAACAGCCGTCCGGTGCTTCCACGTTTTCGACGGTGGTGTATCTTCAACTGATTCATGATCTTAACCATTGAAATTACTATAGTATCCACAAGACCCATCTGATATTAGTTCTCTATTATTAAGAAATTATTGTATTCATTAAAGAACAGAACAATTTACTAGATAGTACTTTTGGAAAAAGTAAACATTTTCACCATTAAAATAAATAATAAAATTATTTACAATAGACAGCTATCATTTATATATAGCTGTAACTAAATGACATAAGTTTGTACGTATTATTGCCAAGGTTGAACTTGATAGCTCCACATATAGTGAGTACTGGATAGAAACTTAAGAAATATAAGTATAAGTTTTTCTGAAGTTTCGTCACTTAGTGTATATCGCTTCTTCAGAGAAGAGATAAAGTTTTTATACACATTGGAATATTCAATGATATTAAACATTTACACTGAATTGTTTTGTTTTCTGTATGATTTTTCACGGATTTGTCAAAAATAAATTTACTACGATTTTAATAAAACAGATATCATGAACAAATCTAATTTTAGTTAAATTTAGACAACAATACTATTGGATGCCGGCTAAGTGGTATAGAGGTTAAGCGTTTGCACGCGACACTGATAAATCCTGGGTTCGAATCTCTCTAGGTGGGATTGTGGATACGCACTGTTAAGGAGTCCTATACTAGGATGAGACGACTGTTTAGCGCTTTCAGGATTTCCATGGTGTTCTAGTTTCAATTGACTCATGACCCAATTTTGTTAAGAAAAATAATTTTAAATAAAATCTTACCTCTAGATTATTAGTTCAGATAATGATGAATTATTCAATAATAGTGTATTTATAAGCCATATTTCCGATCACAATAAACTGAAAGATTATACCAATTCTCATGTTTGTCATTTACTTAATTACATATCAACTTTTCGAAAATAAACCAATCAATGTTATATCCTGGATGAAACAAATCATTTCGAGATAGTGGTGAAAATTTGTAGCTCAGGTGGATGATTTTGATGGGATTTTGTTCTCTGAATTGAATGATTTGGTTGTGAAGCTTTCATTGTTCTCCTGAATGCTGTCATCAGCACAAACCTAAAGTTCAGAAGAACGATGAAAGCTCCACAACCAAACCATCTAATTCAGAGAACAGAAGTTCAATAAACAATTTCATTTTCTATAACATAGTACAACTTAAATTATTGACGACAATAACTGATTATCTCAAATAGTGTAATCAAACAATATTGATTAAAAGAAACAAACATAGAAAACACTTTGAAAACAAAGAAAAAAACAACAAAAATAGTTACCTTCCAAAATTTTTACCAACAACACAATGCCATGTTGGACCATAATTTTTATCAAAATGTTTTTTAATATAAGCTGCAATATCTTTTTCTATATTATATTCAATCATTGCTTGAGCAGCTATATCAACGGCACATTGTTGCATATCATCTGACATATCAGCATTTTTAACAACAGCTTTTTTACATTCCATATTATATTCGATTTGATTTTATATAATTGACAATATCAAGCTAAAAAGAACTATAGGAAGTGTAAAATAAGACTCTTATTAGTTACATAAACATGTATATCTATATCTGTATATATATATGCATGTGTTTAGACAGTAGATTGTTCTATACTGACCTGAAACAGTACAAAGTTTAACATTTAGTAACATAACTTCAACTCAACGAATAATGTCTCTACATTTATGTAACTACTATTTACCTTGATTTAATTAAAAAAAATGAATAAAACTTTCAAAAGATTGGCTAATGCAAATGGCACATAAAACTACTTGAGTTTGTATAGACTAGAAAGATCAAATTTACATATGCATATGTATATACATATATGTATACATATCTAAGTTAATTTATACGAAATCAACGACTAAATACACTCATATCTATAATCCTGTGTATCATGGTAAATGTTTACAGTCAGAATATTAAATAACTTGGTGTATATATTTATCATTAATTTGTGTAGTCTTTTGTTTTGTTTTGTTTTCTGTCTTCAAATCTAAGTCACTTTAATCGTTTCTAGTGAGAAAATCAGAAATCTAAACACTTATTTTTTACATATGATATATAAATTATAAAATAGACGATTAGTTGGTAGAATTATAAGAAAATGACTCAGTGAAGGAGTGGATCAACAAAGCTAGAACAGCATATCCACAACTGTAGATCATCTGAAACTATCGACCAAAACCAAAGTCAAGACAGTTCTAATGTATGAGGCGGAAACTTGAAAAACTATGAAAGCCATCATCCAGAAGATACAAGTGTTTATTAACAGTTGCCCATGCAAAATACTTCAGATCCTTTGGCCTGACACTATTAGCAACAACCTACTGTTGGATAGAATAAACCAGATTCCAGAGGAGGAAAAAATCAGGAAGAAGCACTGGAAGTGTATAGGACACACATTGAGGAAAGCACACAACTGTGTGCCACAAGGCAAGCCCTCATATGGAGTCCTCAAGGTCAAACGAGAAGGTGAACACCAATGAACACATTTGGCCGATAAATGGAGACAGACTTGAGAAGGATGAACAACAATTGGATAGAACTAGGAACGAAGGCAGAGTGAGACAGTGTGTGTTGGAGAATGTTGGTCGGTAGCCTATGCTTCATTGGGAGTAACAGGCGTTAGTAAACAAGTAAGATTCAGTGGAACATGACAAGTGCATTGTTTCACTAAATTACTGTTAAATTATACAAGTCAAATTCACTTGGTGTTGCTTTACTTGAATCTTCCGATTGATGATTAGGACTGCAATTGATCAGTCCTCTTATTGACATACGTGCATGCTGTGCAAATGGCTTCAATATTATCTTAATTCACAAGCATAATAAGCAAAGATAGTGACTAACAGTGGAAACTAGGACGCGTCTTTCGTCCTATTTAGGACTCGTCAGCTGAATATATCTGCGTCTCAGAGTTAATGTTCACTCGGGGACTCGAACCTATTACTGCTCGTTTCAAACGCCATCGCATTATACACCTAGCTACTAAGTCATGAAAGCCAATTATTTGTGCAAATTAAAAAAAAATTTAGGCAAGAATAATAAACATTGATTACAGAGCTTACATGTAGTTGACAAATAAAAAAGCCTGTAAAAATATTCCAATTAACATCTGGTATAGAAAGAGTTGATATATTTACACTATAACTTTAGTATATGTACTGTGAATGAGAACACAAGTGGGGACAACCAATATACATTTTATTACAAAATACAGAGTTCTTTGGTAAAATATAAAAACCATACTTTCAATACATCTTTTTTAAACCCTTCATCAACTGTCTCGAAGTTCCTCTATGTCCCCATTCTCTTTGATTCAATCTTTTCAACCTTCTGATGCCAGATATTCTACTTCTGATTGATGTTATATACTACTTATATTGACATGAGCAGTATACACCATATACGTATATACGTTTTCTAATAAAACGTTTAGAAACGTATAGAAATGATTTAAAGGTTGTATTTCTTTTTATGAAACTTTTTATTTTCTTTAAAAAAAATCAGTTTTGCTTATTTTTATATTGGCTTTTGATCCATTAAAATATTTAATTTAATCGCAAACCATTGATCACACTAAAATCTGAACTTCAATAGTGGTGTGTGCTACTTATATTGATATAAGTAGTATATGATGTTAGTCGTGAATAGAATGTCTGGCAGCAGAGGCACAAGAGGATCGAACAGTAAAGATCCGAAACAGGATGCAATTTGTATGAAAATGCAAGAACAATGAAGTCTGAGTCATTATGAAACAATTGATGGGGATTTTGCAAATTACGTATTTACTTTATCAATGTTAGATTTTACTAACAAGTCATGTAATTTTGTGCCAAATACATTCGATTGTCCCCATTCGTGTTCTGTTCACAACACAATGGCTCAATAGAAAAGTAATAATAAATATTGATCTACTGACTATAACAACAAAGATGTTTTAATTATTATAGAATTTTCATAGATTATTAACCTATAGACTATTACCTGTAATTAGTAGTTTGATGGTGTTTTGTTCTCTGAGCTGGATGGTTTGGTCGTGGAGCTTTCATCTTTCTTCTGAACGACATCATTAGCACAAACTTCAACTAGAAGTGTATAAATAACAAATTGTCACTGAACAAACTTGAGTTTATTGATTCGCTCATTGATATCTATATATAGTGTGACTTAATGCGGAATGGTTTTTTTTTTGAAAATTTCCTTTCTAGTTTCATTATCTATTCCAAGTTTATTATAGAAGGATAAATTGCAAGACTATAGAAAAAAGCTATGCTTGCACAGAAAAAGTAGCTGAACAATAGATTAATTAACAATAATAAAATAATAATTACGCCTGTTACTCCCAATGGAGCATAGGCCGCTGACCAGCATTCTCCAACCCACTCTGTCATGGGCCTTCTTTTCTAGTTCCATCCAATTCTTGTTCATTTTTCTCATGTCTATCTCCATTTCTCGAAGTAATGTGTTCTTTGGTCTTCCTCTTTTCCTTTAACCTTCAGGATTCCATGTGAGGGCTTGTCCTGTGACGCAGTTGGGTGCTTTCCTCAATGTGTGTCCTATCCACTTCCAGCGCTTCTTCCTGATTTCTTCCTCCACTCGAATCTGGTTTGTTCTCTCCCACAGTACGTTGTTGCTAATAGTGTCTGGCCAATGGATCTGAAGTATTTTGCGTAGACAATTGTTAATAAATACCTGTATTTTCTGGATGATGGATTTCGTAGTTCTCCAGGTTTCTGCCCCATACAGTAGAACTGTCTTGACATTTGTATTGAAAATCCTGACCTTGATGTTGGTTGACAGTTGCTTTGAGTTCCAGATGTTCCTCAGTTGTAAATATGCTGCTCTTGCTTTGCCGATCCGCGCCTTCACATCTGCATCGGATCCACCCTATTCATCAATGATGCTGCCAAAATACGTAAAGGTTTTTACATCTTCCAAATCTTCTCCGTCAATTGTGATTGGATTGGTGCATGCAGTGTTGTATCGGAGAATCCTGCTTTTCCCTTTGTGTATATTGAGACCTACTGCTGCTGAGGCTGCTGCCACACTGTTCTTCTCCTGCATTTGTTGTTGCGTTTGCGATAGAAGAGCCAGATCATCTGCGAAGTCTAGATCGTCCAACTGCATCCTAGATGTCCATTGTATCCCGCGCTTCCCTTCAGACGTTGACGTCTTCATGATCCAGTCGATCACCAGGAGAAAGAGAAAGGGTGAGAGTAAGCAACCTTGCCTAACACCGGTCTTCACTTTGAACGACTTTGTCAACTGTCCTCCATGCACGATTTTGCAGTGTAATCCATCATACGAACTCTGTATGATATTGCCTATCTTCTCAGACACACCGTAGTGTCGAAGAAGCCTCCATAGTGTTGTTTTGTCCACTCTATCAAACGCTTTTTCGTAGTCATTGAAGTTGATGTAGAGTGATGAATTCCATTCAATTGATTGTTCCACAATGATCCGTAGAGTTGCGATTTGGTTTGTACACGATCTATCCTTACGGAATCCTGCCTGTTGGTCACGAAGTTGGGCGTCTACGCAGTCCTTCATCCTGTTTAACAATACCCTGTTGAAGACTTTTCCCGGTATTGAGAGAAGAGTGATGCCCCTGTAGTTATCACACTTGCTGAGATCGCCTTTCTTCGGTATTTTGATCAGGTGTCCTTCTTTCCAGTCTGTTGGTTTTTGTTCCTCATCCCAAATCTTATTGAAGATTAATTACTATGTCAAAATGAAATAACAATACTTACTTCAGTGCTTAATATGTACGTGAAATGTTGTATTATAAATGATCATAAGCTAGAATGATAGTAAGAGATTGAAGATTCCTGAAGAATGAATATATCATGGTTTGATAATTGTTAGCAGTAAATAATTTCATTCTTTCAATAGGATTGTATCCAGTATAAGTGATATTCAATCGGATTGAGATTGTTTTAAAAATTGATTGATTTACAATTACAAATTCAGTTAACCTATAATATACAGGGATATTCATCAAGTGTCACTGGTGTTATCGTCTTAACCTTGACATCACTGGTTCCATAAGATCAAGATTCCAATTTGAACTTATGGAAATTTATTTCATTGGTAAACATAAAACGTTTTTTTCAAGTAGACATCAAGATCTTTTTCATTTTTCGTGATTGATATTACGGAATTCAAATTTATGGATTATTTTTTTGAAGCAACACTGTTTATGCAAAGACTACTGATACTCATTATTTGGTCAAATAAACTTAGATGACATGAAGAACCAGATCTACATTTAATCAAAATTATTTATTATTCATCAAATAAATTTCCTTAAGCTTTAACTAATAGTAACATCAGAAAATTGATAGATACTATATCATAGACTACCAATTATTTTATTTAAACACATAAATATTGGTACAAGGAGTTAGCAAATAGATATGCCCCACATAAATCATTCGATTTATGTGAGGGCTTGGATACTGCATGGGTACCCAAACCGAATCAGTTGGTTTTCTTAGGAGGCTACACTTGGAGCCTTCGACCTAAACGTCTAATCCACAAGGCAGTGGAGCAACGTCAGGAGATGCACTCCCATGGTAGCCAGTGACCAACGATTGGTTTATACGCCATTTGTTCCCTCAGGATACTGGAGCCCATCTGCATCATTGGTTTGGAATTAGGGT